CGCGGGGACCTGGGGACCCGGGGGCGCAGGGCGCGACCCTCGCGGCGCCTCCCCGCCCGCGGCTGCCCACGCAAGAAACTCGTGGCACACATACCCTTCCCCGGGAGAGGGCACCAGAGCCCAACAGCAGCGCGCCCGCGTCCCCCCATACCACCCAGCCCAAGGAGAAACGGCTGGGTGAGCAGCTCCAGGCTCCTTCCCAACCAGACTGCCGTCCCCCCATTAATGTTTCCCCGGAACAGGCGGCTGGGAAAGCCGCTGCCAAGTTGCCCCGGTCTTAGCCACCCGACGCACCTCCAGGCCCCCACCCGCCCTCCCTCCCGCCCTGCTCCCTCGGGGCTCGCCTGCCTCTGCCGTCCCTCCTAGGCACCTCGACGCTGCCCCGGAGACTTGTCCGGGGTCTTCCCCACCTGGGGGCCTGCGGGCCAGGCGCGGCTACCTCTGGCGCTGCAGCCACCCCGGGGCAGATGTGGATGCAGAGGCCCCCGGGGCGCGCAGGAGCAACTTACGAGGCTGACCTTGGGAGGGCTCTTGTGACCTCCCTTAACTCGGTCGCCTATGTTCTCCGGGAGAAAAACAGTCTCCTCCCCAAGGTTCTCCAGGCCCTTATGCTGGTGTGGTTTTTAAGAGACTGGCGACTTTCCCCGAGAAACATCTTTGGGATGAAGCACAAATAAGTCAAAGCAAGAGTCAAGCCGATTGCTCCCCCGGCCCCCCTCACCCTACTCCTGAGCCTGCTCATCTGGTTCTTTTGGGTGAAAAAAAAAATCTGGGTTTTTATCCAATTTAGATGTTTCTCTTAAGTACTATCGCAGTCCTCACTTGCTGAGGCCACACAAGCTGCGAGCCTGCGTTTGCCCCTAGGACTCTGCTGCCGGCAGGGGCTGGGCGACGCCGGCCTTCCGCAAAGGGGAGAAAGCCCTGCGTTCCCGAAGCTCAGCCCTTTCTGCTTCCCCATAACAGGCGAGAAAGGGGGCCGCTGTGCAACGGGGCACCAAGAAGCTGGTTTTCTTAGGTCAAGCACAGGCAGGGAGGCAACTCTGCCTTTATAGTTGGGGCGCCCCTGTAGTTCCCTCAGATATTTAGGTCTCAGACCAACAGCCTCTAATTATTGTTCTCCCAAACTGGGGCTCATGTTAGGCACCCCGTCTGCATAATACGGTTTGCAAAATGTCCTAGTTGGTCCATGGAGAGCTCACCATCTCAAAATCCAGTTCTCAAGCGGTATTCCTTTCCGCCGTGCCAGCCCTGGGGCCAAACCCAGCAATTTACCGTGCAGAATCACAGCTCAGCGGCTCATTCCGGTAGCAACTCTGGCACACCGAGGCAGGCCCGGAGCCAGATTGCCGGAGGCACCACACTGGCCTTCCCACCCCCACCCTCTCCCGGTCCAGCAATTAACACCATTTGCTGGAATCTGCCTTTCCCGAGCTTGTTCTAAAGGCTTTCGATAATGAGAGAGAGGAGATCCATTAGCACTCCCAGCAGCGCAGACTGTAATTAACCCTCCTCACACCCGCAGCATCTCCAGGTCAGAGATCGCGGCTGGGGATCCAGCGAGACCCTGCAGCCCTCAAAGACCCCGTAGCACGCCCTTCCCGCGCTGCCCCGTCTCTGTTGGCCAAAGCAACCAACATCTTGAGTTCGGCAGAAGAACTTTGAATCTCAACACCTCATTTTCTTCACCTGTAAAGGTCAGCTTAATATTGTCGCCCCCAAACTGCGAATGAATACAACTTGGGAGGGGTACTGGGCCTGGGACCTTCCAGCAACTCTCCTAAGCGATTGGCTGCCATTTTGGGAAAAGACTCAGAAGCAAATAATTTGAGGAAGGAATGCAAAGACACCCCCTATCCCATTCCATGAAGAGAAATGTGGAAATGTGTGAGGCTGAACCGGACAGCCCCAGTGTGGGGATTTGGTCACTATATGGGTTTGACTATCCAGAGAAATCCAACCCCAAGTTGGGCAGTATGGGGTTGTGCTGACTTGGGGGAATCTGTCTCTGTCGCCAAGCTAACCAACTTATGGACAACTCTCTAACTCTGCCGAAATAAGAATTCTTAGGATGTTGGATTTGCTGGCTCAGCCTTGTATGTACCATAGAAGCTCACCTGGCTCACTGTGTATCCACCTCCACGAACAGCTCCAGAACCTGAGCACTTACACTTCCTCCCCCAGGTTGTGGACTAAGCCCTGAGTCAGAGGCCTTCTCGTGGTGGGTCCTGCGCCCTCTCCCCAGCCCTGGGGAAAGGATGGGCACTGCAGGAAGATGGAGCCCTCCCAGGGCGCTGTGTCTCCAATTTTGCTGGTTCTGGGTAAGAATAGGATGTTCCCAGATCCCTGGTCTGAGCTATCAGTCCACAAGTGGATATTCAGGACCTACATTGTGCAAGTCCCTGGGGTATAAGAAATAGATATAACACTCCCTGCTGTAGTTTGGAGGCTAAGTATCTCCCAAAGATCCAGTGTGATGCTACTGAGAGGTGGTGGGTCCTTTAAGAGGTGGGGCCTAGTGGGTGGTCCTTGGGGCCCAGGCCTTGAAGAGGACCAGGGGAGCCTGGTCCTTTTGTGTTTCTCTTTTGCTTCCTGGCCTGGATGAGCAGTTTGCTCTGCCCTATGCTCCTTTCTATTGCTGTCCTGCATGCCTACTACAGCCCAAAGCCATGGGTCTACCCAATCATGCCCTGGAACCCCAACAACTGTGAGCTGAAATACGCACCCCCCTTCCCCCCGCACCGGGAATTGAACTCATGACCTCGTGCTTGCCAGGCAGGCCCTGTGCTGCTGAGCTAAATCCCCAGCCCCAACCTTTCTTCCTTGTAAGTTCACCATACCAGCTATGTCATGATAGCTTTAGAAAGCTAACAAACTGCTCCTGTGTGTGAACTGCCGGTAGAAACAACAGAAAAAGGGTGACTGGGAAGACAGACGTGAGAGAACTTTTATCAAAAAGGTGCTGTATCTTCTGAGGTGTCCTGAAGGATTTGTCTTGAGGAATAATGGCTGGTGTTCTGACGTGCTCTTTCATCCAGAGCTGGCTTACAGCTCTACAGTTTAGTTCAATGATCACTCTCAGTGTGCAGTGAGGAAATCGAGGCTAAGGAGCTTAGCGTGGCTGATAAGGGCAGAGCCCACGGCCAGTGTGCTGTGGGCATTCGGCGCAAGGATGGTGTGAAAGTCTGCCCCAGGCTTACACTCAGGGCAGGACAGATTCCTTCCAGTAATGCATAACAGGCAGGCAGAGTGGACACAGAACCTGGGCACCAGGGCCTCCAGTCTGACGTGCGGGGGAGCGGGTAGCAGGAGAGCCCTCCCAGTGCCAGGTGTGCCAGGAGAAGATGCAGGTGGGCGGGCGGGCGGAGGTGTGGCTTGCCTGAGCATCTTCAGAAGCTGGAGCAGGGAGAGGCGGAGCTGGAGAAGGCGAATCTGTAGTGGGGAGCCCTACCCAAGGCCTCCAGATCAGAGTTTTCTGCTTTTGGGTACCCGCTGTGTGTGTGAGTAGTAAAAGTAATACTCGTGCTGTGTCCTACCCCAAGTAGCTGCATCTCAGTCTCTAGGGAAACAGGAAGGGCAGCAGCTACTGTTTTGGCAGTGCTGGGGATCAAAGCCAAGACCTTGTGTGTGTGACCCAAGGGTGCTACCGCTGAGCCACAGCACGAGCATGAGCGTGTTTCATGAGCTCGCCCAGGTGGCTCATGTGTAGGGGAATCTCTAGGTTCCCTGCATCAACGCTGTGTGCACAGAACGTCCAGGCCCAATCAGCTTATCCTCTTGGGCTTAAAGTCAAGACAAGGCAAACAGAACAGGCTCTTCAGGAAAGTCTGAAGTCACTGAAAGTCTAAAGTCTTCAGTGTTGGGATTACAGGCGTGTGCACCATGCCCAACTAGCTGTACTATTTTTATTCTAGTTGCCTTTTATCTCATGAAACTTGGGGGCTGCTAGACATTTTCAGAGGTATCACCCCCAAGTCCTGTCTTGCCCCCGGCAGGTCGTCCTTGGCTTCTGTAGCTACACCAGGATCTCTTCTAGCTCTGGGAGCCACTGAAGTTGCTCATTTGCATGACACTAGTGTGGATTTAGGTATCTCCCACTTGGGTCAAGGGATTCCTGGCTAGTATGGAAAAAGCTCACAGTCCAGTACTGGTTCCAGGTATTTTGGCCTACAGGTGCAGCAGTGGCTCTTAAGCCATCTTTCACTTCTGGGCAAGAGTTTGGTAACGTCTCTTGAGCAGCTGCTCGCTTTCGACCTCCTTCCCTGAGCAACTTCTGCTTGCACCATGTCCTAAGAAACTGGGCTGCTTCACTTCATAACTCAGGAGGGATCAAGTCTTTTCATTTCTCCCTCAAATCGTTCCTTCAGACTTCAAGAGCTACCTTGGGGTTGGTCCTCTCAGATCTGATGAAGAAGTCCTGTTCACACTCTCCATAACCTTCAAGGTTTTAGATTTTGCTCAAATCACCTTGCTGGCTTCATCCTTCCATGCTAAAGCTCTCAGGAGCAAAGCGGCCTTGATTTTGTGAAAGACTCTGCTCATCCTTTTACCATTATGAGAAATTTTCTGCAGGGGAAGGGACTAAGACTGCCAGGTCTGTCGAGCCTAGGTAGAACACTATTTTTGGCTTGGTTTCTCATGCCACCTTGGATAGCATTTTAGCATTTGCTGAACACTTGTCCT